ATAAAACTGGAAGGAACATTTATTTTCTTATAACACATTGCGAGTGTTTTGATTGATATAAAATAGCTTTCTACCCCGTCTTTCTGCCTTATGCACTTAATTCATTCTATGTATATTATAAAAACCCTCCCCTATATCTCAAAATGTTCCCAGAAATTACATTGGCAGAAATTTTCACAGGCCTGGCAGAACTCCTGTCTAAATTTTGAGTGGGCCAAAAAGAAATTAAGAAATCCAATGGGGTTCTTTTTTATTTTCCCCTTCTAATTTCTCTCCTTAATTTGCTTTATTTTCTTAGCAAATGGTCCTTACATTTCCCAGTGGCCTATCAACCTACTAGAAAACAAATTAACCAAACATACCCTGACAACTCAACAGCCAGACTCCTGCAGTCCCCATGTCTCTACACTGACAAATTTAACAAATCAGGAAATAATTCCTTTTAGGCCTTCATACATCTTCTCACGATCTCTAATACTTTGTTTGTTTGCAAATACACATTAAAATGTTTTATGTTTCCAAACCTCTTGGAGTCAGTCAGGCAGCTAAAACTCTTGGATACCACTAAGCACTCAAATAATTAAACTTACAGTCAGACTTCACATGAAACAATCACTATGTGTTCCTACAATAAATCACGACTGTGGATCTGTCAATAGATTTAGTCAAATTGTTACACTCAATTCATGAATATTAATATTATATATATATCCATATACACATGTACTGTCATTCCTGTCTATGCTAACCACAAGAGAAATTATACAAATTTGGGACTTTTTTTTTTCTGAGAAACCTTTATTTTAATTTTTTTATTTACTTCAAAGACATAAGTTTCTTAGATATGCATGTCTTACTTTCAGTTCCTCCATTTAGTGAATGGTAACTGAATGCTGTGCATATGAAGCCTGACTTTTATCCAAATTGGCCTGTGTTCCAGAGAAGCAAAGATTCATTAGAAATTAAGTACTCAAGAATTTAAAAAATGAACTGTATTCTATTTCACTCCAAACACAATGTCTACCCTGATCATATAAAATTAAGTAACAGCAGTCCTCACTACAATATTAAATTTGATCAAATGCAAATAATATTCATATACAGGTTAGTTGCCATCATTTTGTAGTAGTTGAGCAGAAACAAAGCCCAACATTTACTAACAGATTTAATAAGAAATCTTTGTTGTATACTGATAACTGCATGTGAAGTATGTATTAAGAAATGATAAATTCCCCCACTCTGTTTTTTACTGTGTGAATGTTCTACTTCAGTGATCACTATTTTAAATACTTGCTTACATGTGTTTCAGCACCTTGAGAAAATCTGTGTGGCTGGAAGTGAAAATATGAAGTAAATTATATACATCACTGAAATTTTCTACTACTGCATTTGGACCAGAAATAATAGAAACACAATAGAAACACAACATACTGAGAGATACTAATATCACCAAGTACACAGGCAAATCTCATAATCTGGCATTTTACAATGTTAAAAAAGGTTTCTTGAAACTCTAATTTGTTCCATCTGCTGTCATACTAGTACACAACTGATACAGGAAGATTTTTAATGATCAGTAAAATCTACCTTCTATCCATTAATCAGTTTCATTTTTCTCTGATGTAATAACTGCACAAAATATTTCCCTGATAAAAAGAATTCATCTTTCTAACAAAAGAGCAAGGTAAGTATACAATGGGTATTTTGAAAAGGTCATTAAACTTGTCACAATTAAGACTTGACATGCCCAACCTTCAAGAATCATACATCAATCTCTGATGTCACCAAAATTTCCTAGGTAAACAACAATCTTCTTTTGGAAATTGTTGGTAGATAACACTTGAAGCAAACCCAAAATACATCAAATATGTATAGGAATTTTTTAAACATGTCTCCACTATGCAGCTGTCAATTTCTACACAGCAACTACAAAGACAGATGTACTCTGTGACAATGCCCTAATAGAACACTAGAAAATTTAAATTTAAGATTACACTACACTCCTGCTTCATATATTTTAAAGACTCACATATGAAAGGTGACAGTATTGAAGTGAACTGCTTTCAGTTCTCTTTGAAGGTTAACTCATGTTGTTCAACAGTCCCCTATGAAAAAGGGCTGGCATTTCAGTAATCTTATCTATGAAAACCAACAGCATGTGGGACACTGCACTTATGAAGGAGTGTGTCAGTGGATTCTGTCTGTGTCTTTCTTGAAGATAACTGGAAAAACATCAACCCCAAATGAAATTCAAGCGAGCACAATAAAAGCAGTCTATAAGAATAATGAAACAACCAGGTAGGTACGGTTTCACTCAACTAAATAACGTTTAGAGTCTTCCTTTGAACTTTGTCATGTAAGAATAAGGGAGTGACAAGAAAGGGGGAAACACTGGAGAGACTGAAGAATAAGGGACAGAAACAAGACATCCTTAAATAACATCAAAAACCCTCATACTGGCTATGAATAGGTAAGAAAGAAAAAATATGTGACAGTGTAGCTCTCCACCACTTAAACATTTAAATCCTTGGCATATTAAGCAAAGGTTGTTTTCTTGATTTTTTCTGTATTCAGTAAAATTAAGGATAACTAACATTCACATGATTCAAAGAAAACTGTGCAACAGTAATTAATTTTCAACTGCAGGGATTTCCCACAAAGCTGATAACTCAGGTCAATGCACACAAGAAGCCTGTTGCATGCCTTTTCCTATGACTGGATGGCTTCGGAAGAAAAAGCTCTGTTGTATTCTCCTGAATAAAAATATTTTTACCTACAGTATGAGATTAAATTTTGGAAAAAATAACCAAAGAAAAAGAATGTATTACTGTATACACCACCTAATGCATTTTTATCATAACACAGACCTCTACATGAATTAACACCAGCTGCATACACAAAAAATCCCAACTGTTTTTAAATCTTGGTAAGTATCTGACATTTGTGCTGGTTTCCTGCTGAACTGTAGCTCAAGATAGCTGCCAACTGCAGATTACTTAAATTAGTGTGGAGACACAAATTTGAAAATAACATGAGGAATAAAATTTCCTATGTGAAATTTCCTATTAAAGAAAAACTAGAACATTTTCAGGTAAATATTAATTGGCTGAACTATTTCAATTCACTCTTCTTGAACAAGTACAAATTTAAACTATAAATGCCCCTAAGTATTAGTTCTACATAAATGTAATTCTTTTTATATCTGTACTAGCTTCAGTAAGACAGTATGTAATTTTGTTTTAAATTAACAATAGAAAAACCTTTTAACTTGAGGATTTTATTCCTGTAACTAGGTTTTTAGTTTTGAAGATAATCAAAAGCATATTTGCTCTACATACACCTAACTCCACAGAGAGAAAGAAAATTGGCTGAATTTAAATCCATTCAGAAATCTGGTGGGTTTTGGTTTCATTACTGCCCATTTTTTCCCTTTAAGAATTAAGTTAGTTTTCTTACAAAATAAAAACCTTTTCTTCCCCTAAGGAAAAAAATTCACAATGTTTAACACAAAAATTTCAAGGAATTAGTACTATCTCTCAGTGTGATCTAGCATGAAATGATTTCTTGTGTGAGATAATATGCAATCTATATACAGGTACATAATGAAATGATCTAGATTATAAACTGACAAAATAGGTTATTTGGAAACCAAAGCTTTTTATAGTATTAATAAAAATTAACTAATTTCTATTATCACACCGCCTTCACTTGGTACTTACTTCAGAACTCAAGTACCAGATCAAACCTGCATGCTCTTTCCAAGCTGTTAGGAAAATGAATGGAAGTTGGGGCTTTCCAAACAGGCAAACCAAACAAAACCCCAAAAATATAAAGGAGAAACATTTCCCACACTGCATCTTACATAAAATTTTCTCATACTATGATTCCAGCATTGGAATCATGAGTGTCCTCACCTGATCATCCAAAAAAACTCCAGCTAACTAATTAAAAAAGCATACTGTACTGCCCCACACCCCGAAAAAACCTGTTATTCAAAACAAAAAAATTCCCACCAAACAGAAAAGAAACGGCCTGACTATCAACACTTCCCTTTTCCCCCAAATAAACTTCCCTGTCCCCCCCAGCTTTTGGAGCACATCTTCACACCTAATATTTAAATTAAACTCCAATCTCTTTCATTCAAAGTGACAAATCCCCACATGTTGTTTTCATACCTGCATAAGGGTTCCCAGCATGACAATAAAACAGAGTACTTATTTCAAAGGCAATATAAAAGTCATAGCAATGGCCATGGATGACATTAAGGAAATATCCATAAGTAATTTCCTCATGCTGCTTTTCTTCCTCAAAGGTTTTATATGAACTTCTCAAATAAATAGGACTATGGTGTGCTAAGAGAAGATATAATTCATGTCTTGAATTGTTCTGCACTAATGTATCAAGATAACATTTTCTTTCAAATATCCTTTAGACAAGTCTCATTAACAGCATAATCTCACCTTCAACTCTATTTAAAATGCACAGACTAAAAAAAAACCACGAAGTGTCATTATATGGTGGGGTTTTAACACTTTCATAAAATGCATGGATACACAAAGTGCCTCATACACAGTCATCAGTTTTATAATGTAAAAATATGTTTGGAGTAACACTCAGCAAAATTAAATCATACATGGCATAAGTATTTTTCATGCTCCTGATTACAAGCCTTCTGGTTTTGGCATCATATGTCAAGGTTCCATGTAATTTAATAGGGAATTTGCAAAAAAGCAGTCGATTCATCTTCCCTACAGTTTTCACATACACTCATACGTGTAACCTTAAAAACTGCATCATGAAACTAAAGAACTCAAATTTGGTTCAGTAAATCCAATTGTCAAGGGGCAACACAAAAATGAATAATAATTTTCTGAACTGTTGTGAGGACAACCTGTTTCAAGTGCTATAATCTGAAGATTAACAACCACATGTACGTCAAAATTAACAGGTTTGTTAACTTTCCAGATGCATCCATTCAAGTAAGTTCTGTAAACATTTACCTGTATCCAAGCGCTTTACAGGGGACTCATCATCAACCTCAGAATCTCCACATGCACTCCTTGATCTTTTCCTTGGGTGCAGAAGTGTCTCCAACCTTGGAAGGACTACAGACAAAAAGGTTTTGGTCCCTAGCTGTGGAGAAGTTGGCTGGGTTTCAGTGTTCTTTGCAGACTTTTGGGGGCTTATACTTTTCGATTTGCAGAAGAGAATGGAAGTACGTCTGTTTACATCAGTTGATGACTCAGCTACAGCAGAAACAGTCGACTCATTGAGATTACTGTCAAGTAAGTGTTCTGGAGTGTGTCCATTTATTTCTTTCTGAATGGAAGTGCTATATAATTCATTATCAAATTTTACTCTTTTGTAAAGCTTACTCTGCTCTGGATTGAGTTCTACTGGTTTGAGGGTTGGTGGTTCTGAATTAGTCTCCAAGTTTGAAGGAAGAGGTAATGCATCTGATGGTTCAAGTTTAGGGGGAGATTTATCTCCTGAAAAAATTATAAATAGAGTGTGATTTTTGAAAACCTGTAGTTATAAAGTCTATTATAAAACTCACTATAAATGTGCAGCCCACCAAATAAATTGTTGTCTGGAAACAAAGCATAACATTTTAAAACCAAAAGTTGTCTAGCAACGATCTGTCCTAGTTAGTAGTTCCTACTTTTATACTGGGAATGTAACAGGGGTAGAAAAAGAAGATGTCTATAACTGGTGTTAACAATTTATACCTGGATAAGTACTTGCTTCTTCTCATGCAGTTATGTTAGTTTCATTAACTAAAAACTACAAACTATTTTTTCATTAGGAAGTTGGGGTGGTGGATGATTATCTGTTAAATGCAATTATACTGCCATTCAAGTAAAATTTTTGATAACATACATTTTTATCTACTTCACCTTATCAATATTCACCTTACCTGCCTATGAAAAATTTTATCAGCTAACCAATAAAAAAAAGTACTTGTAACCTGTTCTACTTGAGTGAACTAAAATGTGTTACAAAATCTTCAAAAGGGCATGATTTGTAAAGCCTTTTTACAGTTGTGACTAGAAGTTTTATCTATGAAAAAGTAATAAAAAATGGAGAAGACGAACCCAAAACCCCCAAAATCTTGCAATTGGCCACCAGCTGACAAATAACACACTTGATAATGCAGATTTGATGTGAAAAATCAGAAAAAATACCCTCTACCATTTTTCTCCCCTTCCCCCTCCACAATTTAATCCTTTTTAGTATGATCATGTCCCACTTAATTCCACTAAATGCACACTGGGGAAAGACAATAGAGAAATGACAGTGAGTGTATAAAGGTAGTTTCAGTTTTTTATCACAAGCAATGGGAAAGAAAATAAACATTCTATTATTGCAGCATTCCCTAATACAAATAGAAGGATGTCCTAACCCATAATTATCAACTCAAAAAGATGGTAAAATCTTTCTAGCTTCCAAAAGAACCTTTCAAAATACAAGAAAGGAAACACTTATTCTAGAGTAACTGTATAACATGAATATACTATTTATGCTATCACATAAAATATTTAAACTTAGTTAAATTTTCTATGCCACCTGAAGAAAGGTGTAAAACCCCAAAGTGTTTAAGTTCTCTATTTGCAGTTGATTTTGTTTGGTTTTGGCCCAGCAATGTTTACTTGGAAATCAAAGATTTCTAAGTGCAGAAAAATCCTTACCCCATTATTTAAGGTCTAATGAAGCAATAGCATAGTTCATATTAAAAATACTTGTTTTTAAAATACAGTGTGACTGTGCTTATATAATTTGCAGACACACAGGTATTCGATTTGGCAACTAATATTTCAGAAAGACAGTAGAATGGAATGTACAGTCAGATAAGCACATTTAAACTATCAGCCATTAAAATATCCCGTATTTTAAAATCTCCATGGTGACTTCCTTTGTAACAAATTCTGATTTTCTTACAACTAATTAGAAAATATTTGTGGAAAGATTAAAGAACACAAAATCACTTGAGAATTATTTAGAGATAAAACCTGAATTTCACAGGGTTATTCTGGTACTGTATTTTTCACATGATCAAAGACTGGAAACAGAATTGCATGGAGGCAATTCAAAGTTCTATCAAAGTCAGCTCCTGTAGAGATCCTGGCCACAGGATTTTTCTCATCTCTTTTTGGGCAATTTGTTTTATTTACTCCTCTATGTACCTTCCACTTAAGAACTGAAATTTGAACTAATTATTATTACTCTCCACTAGATCAGAACCATAACAACAATACCAATCAAACCTGGATTGTGCCTTTCATCATGTTTTATTTAAAAAGCATACTGTAAATATAAGAAAACCACTACTGTTCACTTTGGACTACTTTTTTCACAAAAAACTGCTGAAGTGAAAGGCTGTGGCATCAAAATTTTAAGCTACTAATTAAAAAATGGCTGTAGATTCATTAAGTGCCAAACCCTACATCCCTAAAGAGCTGTATTTAATACCATGAAGATTAAAAAAATACCCAAATTTAAAAAACCCAAACCATTAAACATTTTGAGAATACTTAAAACCTCAGAATAGGATAATGTGCTGATTCATGTTGCTTTTTCTACCAATGCTCAAATCTCCAGCAAGTTCTATGTTTGGAACTAAACACTAAGTTGTTGTTTGAATGGCAGTTATGGACAATCATTTTACTGACTTCACTTTTCAAAAATGTTGATAGCATTAAGCCACAACAAATAGAGACTATTTTATTTATTACCATGCTTCTGCTTTCCCTTGAGCTTTTTCCTCCTCCTATTCAAGGCACTTATTCAAAAATTAAACACATCTCTAACTCTCCAAAGGGAAAGTTTAGTTTCTTAGAGCTAATCATGAAACAAAGTCAATAGAATTCTTATTTGAATGACAGATTTTCTTTGCATCATTTAAAAATAAGCAATAAAAACCTCAGAAACGCAATTTAAAAACTAAAAACGCAAATATAATATTTAATTAAAACATGAAGACAGTCCTTCCAGCACACTGCTCTCATTGAAATCAACGGCAATTAGCCAAGAGGAGACGCAGTTCTGAGACAAATGTTTTGAGGAGGAAGAGAAGCAAAAGGGGAAGAGCTAGGCAGATGTGGCTGAATTTATTCTATAACATGAAATTTGTTAAGTCTTATCAATAGTTAGCTTTATTTAAAATAGATAAATAAAGAACCTGAAAGCCTACCAACCGTCCTCCCTAGAGTCTGGAGTAGTGAATTAAAAAGGCCACAAACACCATACGGCAGCCAGCCTTCACTACCATTGACCTAGGCCCACGTGATCCCTAATACATATTTTGACAATTAAGTGTATTTCCAAAAGAACAAAGATATCTTCTACTCAGGCATTTCCAACTGCTTTTCATATTAAATTGTTAATTGCACTTTCATTTTTTAACACCTAAGTTTTTAAAGCTTTGCTTCCATGAAAAGTAATGGAGGAGCTTTTTTTTTTAAGAAGATCATACTACTCTTAAAATATTTGTTGTGATTAAGCAGCTATTTTCATGTTTTAAAACTGTAATTTAATTATAAAATCAGTATTTTAGATTTAATATTAGTTTATCAAATTCTTTAATTCACACTATTACTCACATCACAGCACCTGACTGAAGCGGTTCAGAACAGTAATTATTTAAACCTGGTTTACAATCTTACCTTCTTCTTCTCCATCTTGTTCTAATGCTGCACTTTCTTCCTCGAAACTTCCAATACCTGACTCTATTTGAGGAGCTTGGCTGTGTTGCTGACTGAGTTTGTTGCGAATAATGCTGATTTCTTTCTTTAACAGCTTTGCTCTTTTGCTCCTTGACCCACTGGATTTCATTGCACAGGTGAGATCAAGTTTTTCTAGCAGCTCTCTCAGCTGTTCTTCCAGGGACATATGTGCTCTGTTTGCAGGATTCAGTAACCTATCCACTGAAGTCAAAACATGCACAATTGAAAACGTGTTAGCATTTCCCAGAATATTCTCAGAACAGTAATACCAACAAAAGGAAAAAAATTGAATTTGCATGCCAAAATAAAAAAATATTGTCAAAAGCCTATTTATAGTCAGAAATACTGGAATTAATTCCTACTATATATTTACTATTTTTCTTAATAGGCATTTTGCTCAAAAAAAATAAGTAGCAGAGCAAAGAAAAAGGTCAGAAGGAAGACATAATTAATCCTTCCCACTTGAACAGATGAATTCCTTCTTGTTAAAGAAAAGGACAAAATTATGGTTATAAAAGAAATATGTTAATTATTCTCTTCCACTGCCAAATCTTAGAGAACTCACATGTATGTCAAAAACATAAGTTTTAATTCCTAGCATTACAAATATGCTCAATTTTTTGAGTAGGTTATTTAGGAATGTGCTGAAGTTTATTAATTTTCCATGCCTTACAAGCATACACAATCATGTGAAAAAAGCACTGAACTTAAAAACCTATTCCATGTAAATTGTTAAATTAGGCTCTGACACTTCCAAAATCAGAATCCAGACAGCACTGATGTGTTGTGACAGATCTAGTAGAATAGAAACACCTGTCGCTTTCAAGCGATGTTTTTAAATGGCGGGGTGGAGAATCTAGTTAGCAAACTGGACAGCAACAATCCTAAACATCTGTATGGAACATACATGCTGTATTCAATGAAAAATGCAACTTTATAAAAATTAATTGAAAAACATCTTACCATCTTCCCAAGAGAAAGGCTGTGGTGACTCAAGTTTAGGCCGTTCTGGTAAGTGCATTCCAGTTTCATTGTTATAACCAATTCCTTCAGCATCTCGCCTGGCTTGCCTGAGAACTACACCTCCTTGATCTCTTAACCGCACTGCAGCTCTATAAAATATTGTATCTTTTGCATTGTATTTCATACAGTTATCTATGATCAGATTGAAGTCTTCTTCAAACTCAGTGAGGTTTTTATAGCCTTGAGCTTCTAACCGTTTCCGCATGGTAGAGAAATCCATAGGATGTTTAATATGATCCAAATAGTCTGGAACCTTTGAATAAATATTTAAAACACAAATGGGTAAAATGGCCTTAGTACAGACAAAGTAACATTAGTTAGTAACTTATCAGCTTTTTAAATGTATCTTGTAACAGCTCAATACAAGAAATTTAAGATGTAACTTAGAATTGCACATCTAGATATTGCAAACATTTGCATGTCAACAGAAGTTTACATATTACAGTAGTCTGCATCTCAGGTAACAAGTCTGAGCTTTACTAAGAGATGCTGAAACTCCTTTTTCTTGGGAATTCTGTTTTACATACTCCTACTTATAGACAACTGGTGATAGGACAAGGGAAAATGGCCTCAAGTTGAGCCAGAGGCAGTTCAGGTTGGATATTAGGAAAGATTTCTTCACTGAAAGGGTACTTAAGAATTCAACAGGCTCCTTGGGGAAGTAGTGCAGTGGCCATCCATGGAAGTGCTCAAAACAAATGGGTGTGGCACTTTGCACTCTGGTTAAGTTGGCATACTGGTGTTAGGTCAAAGACTGGACTTGATCTTGGCGGTCTTTTTCAACCTTAATGATACTACTTATAATAGATGTGTATACAGTATATGCACAAATGTACACGTGTATACTCTAAATCTGTCTAGTTTCACCTTCAAGAACACAGTATCTGCTTTCTAATTTTTGGTATCTTTCAAATTTGCTTTACAAAGATCATCTTACTGAAAAGTATAAGTATGTACCCAACATTCTATACAAGGATGGGGCATTTCTGTACAAGTATTTTGCAGAAATTATTTTGGTATATAAGCATAAAAAGGCTTTCATAGCAGTAGACCATAACTCATAATGTTAATTATCGGAATAAAGATTAAAAGCTAACACTGCTTCTAACTCGGCATGTAATGGCTTGTTTCCTGTACTTAAGTACCACCAAACCACATGTAAACATCAGGAAACACAGCTGCAAACATACCTCTTTAAGGTTCACTGGCTGAGCAAATATACGAGCAGAATCCTTTTCCTGCAGCTGATCCAGAACTGATCGCAGAAGTACAGTGAATGGAATAAGCTGAAGTTCCATAGTAACCTGCTCAAGCTTGACCTAAAGAAGGAAGTTATCCGACTGAGCATTTTCCATTAACATAGTGTATTAAAGTTGTTTAGCAGCAACAGTATAGTATTTTAGAGAAAACACAAAACATAAATATACTTAAGGAGGATTTAAGTAAATGAGTTCAGTACTATTTTCAATATCATCAGCTGGCATTTATCTGACATAGGTTTTCAGCTAATAATTTCATAAGAAAAAAAAAAATCATTCTCATTCCTTCAACTCCAGCTTCCCAGAACTCAAATTTGTATTTTATATGTAAGAATTAAAATACATTTTAAAGTGAAACAAAAGGTGCTACATAATAACAGCTTCACAATGCACCAGCAATGTGAAAATATCAATATTTTAAATAAAATTAAAATTTAAAATAAAATCAATATTTTAAATAAAATTTCAGTTGTACTGCTATGATTGAAGTTTAAAAAGAATCTCATTTACAGGCTACTTAAGTCCAAAACAAAGAGTAATTGGAAAGAAAATGTTCTACATAAATTCCAAGAAAATTATTTCAGAAAACAGAATCAACATCTTCAAATACTTCAATATCCTTCATATTTTTTGGACACTAGTTCAATTCCTCTATAGCTTAATTTTCAGGCTGTTTTAAGAGTTATTAACAATGAAACAGTCTTGCTATGTCTAAATAAATTCTTAATGAAAGACTAAAGGTGTGTGTATATAAATATAATATATATACATAAAGTATAAGCAAACACACACATAAAGTACATGCATATAAATACATATGTCAAGCGAGTGATACATGAATACCACATGAATGATGCATAGCATTCCAGAAAGCACTCCAGAAGGATAAATTACATTAGCTTGCAATGAATGTTCACAGTTTGCAAAAGTAAAATATTGAATGTTACGATTTTATCTTTCTGCATTATCACTTCCTCAAATCTCTCTTCCTGGCAATGTTAATTGTAGAATGTCACAGGACTTCAGATAAACTTTTATTTTTGCTTTTTTCATGACAGAAGGATAAAATGCTTCCGAGTATATGGACATGTTGCTTCTGAGTATATAGACGTGTACTGAGAAAACCTGAATAGATCAAATCTTCTACAGTTCTTCAGAAACCAATCACTTTTCTAAGTCTAAGAGAATGTCTTCTCAAATAATTTCTCTATACCAATGCACACAGCATGGGCAACAAACAGAAGGAGCTAGAGGTCACAGTGCTGGTAGAGAGCTACAGCCTGATTTCCATTACTGAAATTTGGTGGGACAAATCCCATGACTGAAGTGTGACTATGGATGGTCAGAAGGGCCAAAAGCACACCAAAGGGCAGTGGGGCTGCCTTCTACATTGAGAAATTAATACACTGTAAGGAGTTGTCTCAAGAAAAGCCATAAGCAGGTTGAAAGCTTAGGCACCAAGGTGAGAGAAGGAACCCTGTTGTTGGTATTTATTTCAGATCTAGGGGAGCCTAGTGACAAAGCCTTGTTGCTCCAGCTACAGACAGGCACTGCTTTCGCAGGCTCCTGTCCTACTGGGGTCTTCAACCACTCTGACATCTGGAAAAGTAGCAAGATGAGCTGTAGGAGACTCCTGGAGTGCATTATAGATCATTTCATAAGGCAAAGCTTCCATGTGGGGCACAAGGAGATGATTCAGGACAGCCAGCACAGCCTTACCAAGGGTAAGTCCTGCCTAACTAATCTAGTGGTCTAACCAACCTAGTGGCCTTCTATGATGGAGTAACTCTTTTAAGCAGACAAGGAAAGATGTCATCTATCTGGACTTCTCTAAGGCCTCTGACATGGTCCTCGACAACATCCTTCTCTCTAAACTGAAGAGAGATAGATTCAATGGCTGGACTGCTCCTCAGGTGAGGAACTGGCTGGATGGCTGCACTCAGAGCAGTGATCAATGGTTTAGACTCTGGATGGAGATCAGTAATGAGTGGTGTCCCTTAGGGATCTGTACTGGGACCAGTAGTAGTTAGTATTTTCATCAATGACATAAGACCAAAGGATCAAGTGCACCTTCAACAAATCTACAGATGACACCAAAATGAATTGTGAAGTTGACACAGGATCAACAGGAGGAATAGGATCCCATCCAGACATGGACAAACTCAAGAAGTGGGTCCATGGGGATCTCATGGGGTCCAACAAGGTTGAATTCCAGGTCCTCCTGCACCTGGGTTGTGGCAACCCCAGGTATCAGTACCAGCTGAGGGATGAATAGCTCCAGCTCTGTCAGGAACTTGAGATGTTGTACTGGTGGATGAAAACCTCACTATGAGCCGGAAAAGTGTGCTTGCAGCCCAGAAAGTTAACTATATCCAGGACTGTATAGAAAAAAGTATGGCCAGCAGGTCAAGGCACGTGATTCTGTCCCTCTACTCTGCCCTCATTTGGCCCCAGCTGCACTGCTGCATCCAGCTCTGCAGCCCCCATCATAAGGCATAAAGCTGTTGTAGTGAATCCAGAAGAGAGCCACTAGTATGATCAGAGTGGAGTTCTCTTCTGAAGAAAGGCTGAGAGAAATAGGGTTGCTCATCCCAGAGAAGAGAAGGCCCAAATTAAACTTTACTGCAGCCTCTCGGTTCTTAAAGGAGGTTTATAAGATGGGGACAAACAGATTAGTAGGGCCTGTAGTGACAAGGGGTAACAGTTTTAAACTAAAAGAGCGTAGATTCAGACTACATATAAGGAAGAAATTTTTTACAATGAAGGTGAAACACTGGAACAACAGGTTGCCCAGAGAGGTGGTAGACACCATTCAAATTAGATTAGATGGGGCTTTGAACAATCTGGTCTAGTTGAAGATGTTCCTGTTTATTGAAGAGGTGTTAGACTATACAATTCTTAAATGTTCCATTCAACCCAAGCCATTCTATGATTGTATGACAATTTTATATATTTTAAATAGTTTGAGTGCACAGCATGCACATATGTTACTTGACCCTATGTGAAGATTAAAATACAGCTGTTCTTCTATTGAAAAAACTGTGAGAATACTTAAATCATCTTTCCTTCAGAAAAGTTCACCAAATTAAAAGGTGCTGCATTTACCTGCTCTCTTTTTAATTTTTCACGCTTACGTATAAGTTCTATCAATAAACGTGCTCTTTCAAGATCATGGCGCAGCCTTTGCCAGTACTTCAATTTTTCTTTTAAGGCTTGCATTTCTTCATCATCTTCTCTCTAAGAAAAGAATCAAAACATTTTCATGAAAAGAAAAATGCATATCTCTTTTTATAAGATAGTTCTATACAACTACAAAACATATGCACATGAAAGGAGAAATTACTGTCTTATAGTTATGGCACTTGCTCGTAAGCTTTATCAGCTTCATGCATATAAGCTGTGGTCAGGTTATCTTCCAGAGTTACTCAAAGGTCTAATTGAAAATAAAATCTAAACTATAAAGCAATGCTGTGCCCGTGGCTGTTGACATCAGAAGCAACACAGCAAACGGCAACCGAGAAATACAACAAGCTGCAAAATACAACACAGGATTTTTGCATCAAAATCCAAACTAGGTGAACACCACAGTTTCTTCAGAAGCTCCAGCCTGGCAGAAACAAATTACTCATGTGGTCAACACAGTCCACCTCCCTCACACCCAGCAGAACTAGGACACATTTGTAACAAAACTAATTATGGCTTGTGAGGACAGGAAATGAAAAGCTGTTTATTAGATAATATAGTAACTTCAAATGGTATTGCAGGCGAATAATGCAGCAACACACCCTTTTGGAAAATGAATGAAAGAATTTAATTTACGCATTTTTCAGAGTAAGTAATGTTTAAACACTTGTAGTATTTAGATTGATTTGTATACACAAAACCCAGAGTGTCTGTTTGCCTTTACTATTTTGCATAAGGAAAAGGGAGGATACTAGACTACTACTTACAGGATTCAAATAGTATTGGTAATTCGCCAGAAATTAAGCCATAAAGAAACGGAATTCCTGATATTAGTATGAATTACACAAAAGAAACATCTGCTTTGGAAAATTATTACATTTGAAAAATGAGTATTTTATAAAAGTATCTCTGAGAGATATCCAAAACTTTGCATGCTTGCCCATAACTAGCATAATACAATATACACTTTTTAAGTCATCTTGGAGGGTGTTCTATAACCTAAAACAGAACTAGTGAATTCCATCAGTTTTTATATATAGAAGACAGAGGATTAAAGGAAAGTGGCTAAGGAGATGAACAACAAACAACATTACAAATTATCACACCAAAAGCCCTAAGTTCCTTAAGAGAAGAATAATTTAGAAGTACCATAGGTCCTCTAAAGGAAGCTTGTGCAATTTTCAGATAGCTGGCTCTAAAACAGAATTTCAAAAACTGGAAACTTAAAAACATTATAATAGATTTGCCAGTGCTATAATTCTATCATCCGCATTGTATTTTATTGCTTCATGTACTTTGTAAAGGCAAGTTTAGTTTTATTCAAATCTCTGACTTCAGTGAAGTTGAAAATACTTAAAATATCAACTATTTCTGCACTAGAATATATCAATCTGGAAATAAGAGTTTGTTCCTCTTTTCATTAAGGAAAAAAAAAACAATAAAAACAGCAAAAAACTGGAGGTAGAAACTTCTAGTTCTCTTTCCCAATGGCTATTACAAATGAGAGTTGTAATTTCTTTTTAAAGAGTTAAATCTTTACACAGACACAAGATAATTTAACTGCTAGGGTCAGAATAGTTCTAAGTAAATTCTGACTGATAAGAATTTTTTCAATAATTTTCAATTCCTTAAAATTCTGAGGAGGCTCACTGAAATAGGAAGTCTACACTGCCACTAACTGCTACTCTCCTAAACCCCTTCATCTCAAGAGTGTGAACCTCATGTGTGGAAATGCAACCCAATTCTTAGCTGTACAATTTTTTCAGTTCTACTGTTTGTCAGAGCCAAAATTAAACTGCCAGAAGTAGAAGGTTTGTCCTCCCTTTGCTTGCAACATTCATAGCCTGCTCTTTTGCCCTATTTAACCACATAATTTAAGAAACTGGGGAACTGAGCCTGATGAAACCTAAGTCAATGTCCTGGTTCAGGGCATATTTGGGAGAACCTCCGAAGGGGTTCCTCTGGAAAACAGATTCAAATCATACTAGTTCTAGGGTGCATCAGGAAACTTAAATACAACAAGAAAAAATAATGTTACAGCAGGCCTTAGGGTAGTTTATTACTCACTTAAGTACTTAGCTGAACCACAAGGTGCAGTTGCATTCAAATAAAAAACATATTTTACCTGAGTCAGTTATTTTACCAGTTTCATTCCATATAATAGGCATATACTTGTCAATCTGCAGATGTGACTCAAAATATCAAGAGCACCCTGCCTGCATTTTTTTTTTCTGCACACATACACTACCTTTCTGAATGGCACTCTGGCTTGGAGATTAACAGCAAGCCTCCAATTTTTTGACATTTCTGTGTGAAGTACTGTTGGCAGACAGTTTACAGCTTAACAGCCAAGATAACTCTCCTTTGCCCTAACATATTTTTTATCTGATATACACCTATACTTTAATTAGATTAAAAGGTCCACACAAGTTGAAGACAGCAAAACGAACTCATTTCAAACAACCAACCAGTAAAAACTTAAGATACAAAGAGTTCCCTTCAAAATTTTTAGCTTTCTGACATAGAAAGTTTCTTTGAACTTTCTGGTAGGAAAGTTCTTCTTCCTTCTTTCTACAGCTTTCCTGACAGTCACCAAGTTTCACTTGGCTGATGACACAATTAAAATTTATAAAGAAATTCTCATTTGGAGAGGGACTCTTCATCAGGAACTGTACTAATAGGACAAGGAGCAGTATGTTAAAACTGAAAGATGGGAAATTTATAGCAGATATTAGGAAGAAATTCTTGACTGTGAGGGTGGTGAGACACTGAAACAGGCTGCCCAGAGAAGCTGCTAATACCCCATCCCTGACAGTGTCCAAGGTCAGGTTGGGTGGGGCATTGAGTAACCTCGTCTAGTGGAAGCTATCCCTGCTCATGGCAGCAGAGTGGGAACCAGATGATCTTTAAGGACCCTTCCACTCCAAACCATTCTGTGACTCTATGAGTTAAACATAGTATTACCTAGAAATATTACCTAGTATTAAGTATTACCTAAAATAAACATTACCTAGAATATTACCTATTTGTTAATACTGAGGGAAGAGGAAAACATTTTGAAGTCTACACAAAGAACAAGCAGCAGCTGAGAACTCATCTGGCCGTTAGTATGCAATCAGTGTCTCCATACCAGCAGGAATACTGTCAGGGTAGCACTATGTCTCTCCTTATGCTGGATGTAAATGTGTGAGAACAGCCTCGCTTCTTAGAGAGACTGTAACTTAATATCATACAAACAAAAACAGAATGACAGTGATGAAACTGGACCTTGAGCAACACAATTAGTTTTATTAGCATGCTCTGCTGGACTTGTATGGCAATCAGACAAAACCATTTAGTGGTTGCAACTTGTGTTCCTAATGAAATCTTCAGTACAGGTGTGACCTTAAGTCATCAGCATCTTCTCCTTTATTTCTTCTAATAGTGGCTTTAAACTAACATCACTACAACAGCAGCAAGCTTCTACATTTACATTTTATACCTTATTTTCAGTGAAGCATTAAGTTCAGGGGAAAAAAAAACTAATATAAGGAGGATGCAAATCTATTAGAGTATTCAAATACCTTTCCTTCATTTCTCTTAATTTTCTTACAGAGTTCCTTATTCCTGCAAATGGTGAGGCATCCTAGGTCTTTTATCCTGGTTTAGAACTCTTACATCTTCAAAACCATACCATAACTGAACTCTGAAACATTTATTAGGAAGTAAGTCTACATCATGAAGACCCTTTGCCAAATTTGTTCTAGTAACCAAACAGAGAGGGATCAAAACCACTTTCCACCATGCATCCTGAAACCATTTTGGAACCAGGTTTTGGTTCGTCGTTATAACATTTCTTTTCTGTTTAAATAACAATTTTTAAAAACCCTGAATCTTCTTACATCATTGTTTATATTTGGTTAACTGAAAAGTCTATGTAGGTTTCTTGATATTCTGATCCCTCACATAAAATAAAAATAATTTTCTTATCTGGACTGAAATGCACAAAATAATCATGCCTATCTAAAAATTTTTAAGGTGTTCTCACAACAGCTATGCCATTGCTGTTTATTGTCTTGATTACAAATTGGTTTATACTTGGGAGTAACAAAATACATTAATTGCTTTGCAGTTATGACTGCTTTAATAAATAGCTATTGAAAGTGCTCTGGAAAAGACACAAGGTCATACACAGGACTCTTGCTACTCACTGAAAAGCACAACTACACATATTTAATCAACAGACTTATTCAAAACTCAGCTTACCTTGAAACTAGATTTTACTTTTCAAAAGAACAAACTTTTCAGCAGACCAATATAGATAGCTTCCAATTTATTTAGAATATATTATTTTATTAAGAATCTATCTCAAATTAGGAAAGAAAATAAAGAACTGTTTTTACCGAAGTGTAAACAGGCAATGGAATTTTAAAATGCTCATATCAAAGGCCTATTTTATTTTAATTGAACATCAATTACAATAAGAGTTTTATTGTAATAGTCATTATTTAAATATATAGAAATGTTACACCCTTATCATGCCATCCCAGAAGAAAACTGGCTTGTATAATTTTTTGTACAATAACAATGGTCTAGTTCTATTCTGCCACAATAGCACCACACTTCTGTGCTTATCTTTAGGATTTTGTAAGTTCATTTATAAAGAAGTTTATTGCCTTAATAAATTAATCTTAACTACTATTACATAACACTAACTAGCTACATACTTTAGAACCTCTCACGTAGAAGAATCAAACTTCAAAATTGAGTAATACAGAAACAATGAAACCAAGATAAACAAGTGGTTGATCTATATTCAAAGTTCACCTAAAAGGAGTTCATGTAAATGGAATTTAAGAATCTCAGCTATGAGGAAAGGCTGAGAGTGCTGAGCTGTTTAGCCTGGAGGAGAAGAGACTGGGGCAGAAGTCTCACCAATACACAAATACCTGAAGGGAGAAGGCAAGAAGATGGAGGCAGGCTCCATTCAGTGGTGCCCAGTGACAATACAAGAGGAAATGGGCACAAAGTAAGAACAGAAGACTCCTGTGTTTTTTCTAAACTGTAAGAGGAATCAAGCACTGGCACAGCTGCCTAGAGAGCTTATGGAGTTTCCACCCTTGGAGATAACTCAGAAGCCAAGTGGACATGGTGCTGTTCTAAGTGGCCATGCTTGAGCAGTGGGGTTATATCACACGACCTCCAGAGGTCCTTTCCAATCTCAATTATTCTGGAAATTATTAAATAAGAAAAGCTAAAAAAATAAGCATGCACAAACATGACAGATCAAATAATTAGGAAGCAGTGTTGATCATAGTTTTTTTTATGACTACATCAATCAATTACTTAATCAGAAAACAGAAATACAATTCTAACAAAAATAACAGTTCCACTTCAGAGGGGAAAGAATTCAATTTAATACAAGTAAATTATTATAAAATTAATTTCTATGTTTTAGAAGCTATTTTACAGGAAGTCAAGTGCCAGGAGAGTGGAAAGAACACATCCACCTACACATTCCATTCCATTAAAAAAGGTAACTTGAATGCAGTAAAAATTTCCACATCATGATGCTTCACAATATTTCAAAGTCTGCATGCATGGATCCACACAATTCAGAAGTATTAATTATTTTTGAAGCTGTCCAGTAACTTGAAACCAAATCAGACCACCTGGAGTTGCTGGTTTGATGTTTTTCAGCAACTTATTCATAGGAGTGTATAACTAAACTTATGCTTGTCTACAATCCCGCTTAAGTGTGTCAAAAGCAAAACCAGAAGCTGAAACAGGTCTTCAAACTTCATCAACAACTTCCAATTTGTTATTACCAAACAAGGTGGGCAATACAGATCTGAATTTGATAGCTATAGACTATCTGTTCAACCCTTTACACTGTTAAAATCCACATTTTTTTCAAGTGTCAAATAATATATCTGCTTTGCATCTTTTGATGAATTTAAAATAACTTTTATTTTTTATCTCACAGTACACTGAAGAATGAGTTCCAAAAACCTACAACACTTAGCAAAGAATAATGGCATTATATTTGTGATCATAGTATTTTTGTGAAACATTTAAGCAAAACAGAAGAAAAAGCTACACAATTTTTTTTTTACATCTCACATATTAAAAAGTATTAGATAGTTCCCAACTGCCAAAATAGGCAATATCACTTCAGAATAGGGCAAACAATTTATTCATTCCTGAGTAAAAAAAGTTTTTACTTTGTGCTAGGCTTCCTAGTTTATTTTTAACTCAATAAAATAGAAAATTTCCAATTTCTTCTTATAAATAAAAAGTATGTCACATACCTGTTGTGTGTTTCTTTGTGACTGTAAACTGGATTGCAGCCTTCTCAAGAGTGGAACACCATTCCTAGACAGTCTTTTAAGCAACCAGTAACTGTGCACCCGTTCAACAAAATGCTTCTTTCGCTGAATGGCCACCTGATTCATAATCTTATTTAATCTAAAACATGGAAAAACTGATATTGTATTTTTCACAGCAAAGCATAAAACATATTTATCTATGGAAGTTAAACATCACATAAATATGAATGTATACTGTAAAACCAGAAATAATCACTATGTTGCTAACTTTCAGTAAGATCCTCTCCACTACAATTATTTCTGAGCAGAAAATTACAACCAAACACATCTGCTTGACACTGCAGGTTCTACCAAACACATCTGCTTGACACTGCAGGTTCTACCAAATACATTGAGACACTTTATAAAGCTAAAACGAATAAATTATTTTGTAATAATTGTTGGAAGAGCAATCCCAGATTAGGGTTGAGAATAAAGCTTTATGTGCATTTTGCATAGAATGATTTTCCAATTGAAAATGGAATCAGATAAAAAGCTCCAAATCATTATGAAAATCATCAGATCATTCGTTGTCATTTACAGAAAGATTAGTAGTTTATTTTACAGATAATACATCTTCAAACCCCTCCCATAAAAACATGCAATGAAAGCCTTGTGTTACTCTATTAATAATAAATGTCTGACAAATAAAGCAAACAGAAAAATATAAAACACAAGAAAATTATTTTATCCCACACATACAAGAAAATAACCAATCAGAGAAGACATGAGGATGATGTAAACAGTTAATAAAGTATTTTGATCAAAATCACAGTATTTTCTCCAAATCTGCTTTTTAACAAATGCAAATCCTCTATGCATATACTTTTTTATAAATACTCAAGGAATGTGCTTTATGAACATCACACACAACAATACTGATTCCTGTTTTTCAAATACTGACATGTTAGATAGATGACAGCCTCAAACTTGACACTGGCTTCTGAAAACATATTAAAAAGAAAGCTTATCTGAAACAAATCTTTAGCTGTTTGTTCCTACAATATCTTGAAATTACAGCAAAATAGAAGTTAGAAAAAGCTAATAGTTATAGAATGAAAATATTTTCTCTTTGTATGATAATGCTAGTACTGTAACTGGTGGCAGCCCTTGGGGAAAGATGCCCCAAGCTACCAACCCCCTCTATTGTAAGAGACGGTTCCTTCATCTGGGGGCAGGGGTGAGCTGGAAAGAGCTGGATGTAAAACAGTTACAGAAAGGAAAGTAACAATGAAAAAAGAAATCTGTTAATTCTTCACTCAGAATATTACTACTATCCATAGCAAAACCCTGCAATTGATAGTAGAGGGTTTATTGCATATTCTCCAAAATTTAATACTAAACCAAACAAATATTAACTCAAGAAGTGTCTGTTTTGTAGAGCAGTACCATGAGACATTTAAACAAGAATCAAGATTCTATATACATACCAATGTTTTTCCTCTTTTCCCCTTTTTGTATCAGGAAGAAATCAGTTTTGCAGGTAAGTGATAAAAGCTAACTAGTCAAAACACCTAACAAAAATGTAAAGTTAGAAGTAAGCCCTGGGTAAAATAGTTTTTAAGAATATCTGAGAAAACTAAATATTTTTCAGACTAATATACAAGTGAGTGCACTTTGAGTTCAAAGGTCATCTATCCCTGGGGTTTTTTGGAATGTGCAGAAGATAAGGTGCAATAGGTCTATTCAGTGCTACTAACTATAGCTAATCACCAGGTAAAGTCAGAGTGCCATTGTGTCCTTTGGTTTCTCAACGACATTGTTTTTTTAATTAATAACTAAGCTAGTTAGGCATTCTTGAAAAATTCTAGCTTAATTTAAATCTTAGGTCCGCAGATGGACTTCAGACTGTCTTGTATATCTTTCACTGGAAGGCAGACACAGGCTCCACAAAGATTTACTCAATGTAGAACAGATGTGACCCTACTAAACTTCAAACAACATAATTACAATTAATTATAGAATGCAATCAAAGTTAAATAATTGCTTTCACAAATCTCTTGGAAACGGTAAAACCTACTGAACCAAGTCAGAAAAAGCACAGCCAAATACACAACTATTTGGAAAGATCAGAGAAGCATAACATGAAGAAAGGTGCCTTGGCTTCATGCCCATCAGATGTGGCAAGACTAAGCAAACATCTTCAACTAAAGCTTTAAGTACATTTGCCAATTCACATAACAAACCATTATATTCATATATATTTATAATAGCAGAGTGTTAAAAGAAGCTTAAGAAAGATGTTCACAGAAGGCACTCTCCGACTTTCAAAATATAAATAGACAGAAGGTAATTTGGAGCACAGAGACTACTTTAAAAGTAGTTGGAAACTACTCATCTCTGCCTTCCCCTCTAAATTAAACTAAGTATTTCATTTAAACAATACACATGGGTAGAAGCTATACACTTGTCAAAATACTTGTCTGAAACTCTTCACGTGGCAGCTATCTACAGAGCCTATACACTATGAACTTAGTGCTAGGAGGATGTTACATCTGCTGTTAGACTAACTACCCACTACCTATATCACAGCTCTTCAACCATCCTTTTGCTTCGTCTGATAGTTCCAGGCAGACTTTTACTGTCCCAAGCACCTTAAAATTTGACAGGAAATACAACTATTTTGGGGAAATGAGACAACATCGATGTAGAGCCCTGTAAAATGCACAGACTGGGTACTGATTTTGAAACTCCCACCACCTAAATGAATTTTCCATACATTATACTTCCCTTTTTTTTTTCCCAACAAAGATGTAATAAAAAATCCCTGAAGAATAATAATTAAAAAAAGGCATGTATTTGGGCTAGGTAAGGAAGGAAGAGCTGTTTAAAAACGTCATTTTGCAATCCAGGATCTGACTTGGACATGACAGGATTAATTGCTACAGCACACTGATAAATCCCCAATGCAGAGGCAAGGCTTAGGGAACTTGGGGCACCTCCCAGAACTACAGAAAACACCCTCAGCAAAGGCATGCTTTTGCTAAGGCATCTGTCCACACTAGAACTTCTTCCAGTATAAGCACATCAAAAAAGAACAGCTTTCTGTATAATTTTCTAAAGCAAATCAAGCATATCTACTACTGTGAGAAAAAACCCTTCATTTTCCCTCAACTTACAAGTTATTTAATACAAAGTACATTGATATAGGAATTTGAAAATTCTTAAAAAGGTGACTGTGTTCCAATGATATTCAGTGACTGCTGCTATCTAGCTGGTCTCACAAAAGAAGCGTTAGGTTTCAAGCTGATGACCACTGCAGCCTTTTGATGTTTTAGCACTAGCAGTCATACTGATTCTTGGTTTTGGTTTTTGTTGTTTTTTTTTTCTTTTTTTTTTTTTTGGAGCTACATGCCAAAACTACAGAGATGACAAAAATATTTTTTAGAACTGTTTTATCTGTGCCACAGCCAACTGAGTGAGCCAGAACTACTTCCTTTCCCCAGCCCCACCCCTGTAAAACACTGATGTGCACTACAAATGGGGATATCATACAATTCCCTGCTTGTCTTTAAACAGGCAAAGGTTCCTTTTTGAACCTAACCTTTGAAATAGCACCTACAGTCTCCTCACATGGAGACACTTGATGGATAATCTACCCTGTAAAGGATGTCACACTTAACACACTGGTCAATGCATTCAGAGAGCTGAGTGTGCTACTCAGTCCTTGTTTGCTCAGCTTTTACAGAAATGCATAAAATAAATTTTGTCAATGTAAGAGATAGGCTTTTAACATATTAGCAAATCTCACAGCTGCCTTCTTTTGACTCATTACTTCCTTTCCCAGTTTCAGTTACATACCACTGTGGCAACTATGGCAACTGGTTACAGGGAAAAGTGAAACCAGTACTTTTGGTAACCAACGGTGCGGCAGTTTAACCTCAGAAAGCCAATGAGAGATGATCAGCCACTTTTTTATCAATCTTAACTAACCCCTACACAGACCATGCATGCTTTTTAATTCCACAGGTATTATTTTAGTATTACAATACCTCAAAAATCTTTAAGTTTTTGAAATATTAACTGGAGAGAATGCTTTCTTGAGCAAGTATGTGATTTTTGACAACATTACTATAGTAACTCAAGCACAATAAACTCAATATGAAAATCTGTATTAATCAAACACCCAAAGGAAGATCAAATAATTATTAAAACAGAGTATTTTTTGAACATGAATGAACCCTAGTATTTTAATTACCATGCCAGTCCTGAGTCTCCAGTTTTATCAGTTTGTTATTTTGTATTGTCCTTTATTTAGCATAGCACTACTAAAGGTACACACAACACAGGAAAACTGTATTATAGCCTGTAAAATTTAATTCAGTATCACTAACATACCAGTTTCTCTTGACCTATGCTAATACCCATTAACAATCAAATTATGTTCCACTTTACAGAGCAAATAAAATACTCTTATTTTCCCAAACAAAGATTGCAGATGTTTTAAAATCCTTCAGAACAAAATGTAAAAAAAAAAATATTGAACAAGTTGCAACAAAATCAACTGAGTTTTCAGAAGACTTGAATTTTCAAGCCTTGTTCAGTAAAGTTCCACAAAATATACTGAGACTTGTAGGAAGCAGAAAAGATGCAAGACTTCACTACAGATAATTATACCAACTCCAATGACACTCACTGGAAGACAATTAGCAAAAACTAGAATAAAAAGCTATGGAATAATTTATTTGGGGAATTGGTATTAATTCTGGAGCCTTACCAACTATTCCTTCTAGCCTTATATCAAAAAACTTCAGTTTTTGAAGATCAGAATGCCCATCTGGACAGATCAACTCTCTCTACTCCTCTCATGGACACCTTTGGCTACAGCTGCTTATCAAGGTGTTTGTAAAACTCATCTTTCAATACACTTTTATTTTATTTAAAGTGTATTATTTCAATACACTTTTATTTTAACTTTGTTATCCTATTCCTCAATTAAAGATAAAGCTTACTATATTACTTATTAACTTAAAAATAAAAACAATCCTCAAACTGTTCTGACCAACTTGAAAGACAAGACAGGCAAATGAATAACTATGTAAAAATCAGAATCCATCTGCATGTCTTTATTTCCTTTTGAAAAAGGATAATATTCCTTTA